GCTAGGGTTTCAACATGTGAATTTGGGGGGACACAATCATTTAGATCATAACTGAGGGTCTGTTTTCATCTACCATCCCCTTGACTGTGGCCGGGACCTGTGACTTACTTCTAACAATAGACGATGAAGAAGTGACGGGGTCTCACTCCCCTGATCACCTTATATTATACAAGACTCTGTCTTAGAAGCAGGCTGGAGTAAGAGCCTCCTGTAGGCTTAATGACATAAATGGCCACGTTGGAGAATCCGTGTGACAGGGAAGTGTAGGTGGCCTCGGGGGTCTCAGGTAGCCTGTAACCAATAGTCAGCAAAAATCCACGTCCTCATTCCCATGACTGCAGGGGAATGAATCCTGCCAACCACCTGAATGAGCTGGAACTCGGTTTCCCCCAGTCGAGCTTCCAGAGAAAACGCAACCTGGACAGCACACTGATTATCGTCCTGTGAGACCCTGGGCAAAGGACCTAGGTAGCTGGGTCTGGACTTCTGATCTATGGAACCTTAGAGATAATAAATGTATACTGTTTAAGCCACTAAGCTTGTGGCAATTTCATAACACAATAGAAACTATTAAATGTCTTTCTGCATTTTTATTATTTTCTTGTTGTTTTTTGTTGTTGCTGTTATTAACCCTTTGGGAGGAAGCTGAAGTGAACATATGTGTAATCAATGGGTTAGAAAACATGGCATGCCCTGGCTGGTTTGGCTCAGCGGTTAGAGCATCGGCCTGTGGTCCAGAGAGTCCCGGGTTCAGTTCCCTCTAAGGGCACATACCCCGGTTGCAGTTTGTCCCCGGCCCTGGTTGGGTTGTGCAGGAGGCAGCCACTCAATGTGTCCCTTTCACATCGATGTTTCTCTCTCTCTCTCCTTCTCTCCCTCCCTCCCACTCTATCTGAACAAAAAAATGGGAAAATGTCCTCAGGTGAGGATAAAAAAAAAAAGAAAGAAAACATGGCATATTGTATGTGATCAAACACACTTTTTTCTTGTCTCATCATTCTTGAAACATTTATTCAAGTAAAAAGCCAGATCTATTCCAGCTTCGGGTCCAGTGTGCTCAGGTAACAGCGGCATTTGGTCGCTTTAAATACTAACATGCTCTGTTTGGTCATTAGGATGCCCAGTCTCATGTAAAAATTAAAATTATAAATAATTTAGCATTAAATTTCGCTTGTCCCTCAACCAAGTCCTGCTTTGGATTGGCTGCTCACAATATCACATCTCCCTTAGCTGGTTGACATTTTTTTTGCCTAGCTTTTCTCTCTCCTTCCACCCCACCCTGGGTACTGAGGTTTCTGACCTCCCTTCCCTCAAATCCAGGGAAAGGAGGTTTACCTGATGAGATATAGTCACCTTCATATAATGTCAGGGCCCTCTGGATATAACTCTTCAGAAATTCCCATGTCCTTGACCTCTGTCACCTACGATTCATCTATATTCCACAAGGTCACGTGTGACTCCTTCCTTATCCCCTAATCTCATTTCACCTACAGCTTCCTGTGGCTAAGATCTTTCCATTACTTTGGATGGCCCTATTAGACAGTACCCAAAACATACTGTCTCTCTCCCTTGATTGTCTCACCATGATCCATGAGAAACATACACATATGTTTGCATGGACAAACTCTAAGCATGTAGGTGGGTCTCAACACAAAGCCCATTCAGGGCTCTACTGCCAAACCTGTGGCCAGAGTTCCAGGCAAGAATGAGACTCCAGTCAGACAAGTGCGCTAACTGTTGTGGTCCGAGAGAACGCTGAGTCAACGTCTCTCGTTCGTTTTGAGGTCAGGGGACAAGCATCCCTCCTCATCTCACCTCTGGGGTGGATGGAGCAAGGAGGCTCACAGTTCAGCTCTCCGCAAGGAAATTCTTCTCGTAAAGTCCTCTTTTGACTGGTATATCTTTGCGGAGTGTGGAACCAACTGGTCCCTATGCGTTCCCTTTGACCATTTCTCTTTGGCACTTCCTGTGTGCTGCTTCTCGGCGCCTCGTGGGACCTTACCTTTGCATTTGCTGTTCGCGTGCCTCTTCAATCCACCACCATTAACTGGAAGTTCCTTGGTTCTCTTTATTTGCATATTATGAAGGCTGTTCATGTCAGGAGGTTATTAGATGTTCTTAAGACTCTGTAACAGCCCATTCAGAAACATGTTTTATGTTTTACTTGAACATGTCTGCTGAAGGTCCAGTGTTTCCATGGGATTGAATCCATGGACACTGCCCTGAGTAGGCCAAGTGGCAGAGGGCGTGGCCTGGTCAGTGAATGGTTGGCACAAATCCACATGCTCCACCGCCTTCCTCCTGTATGGGCATCATGAGAATGCATCTGCATCTCCTCTCTCCTGTCAGTAGGACCATGGTGAAAGCATGGAGGGCGAGGGCTGCCCCACCTCCATGGGCGTACTCTCCACTAAGTGCTGGCACTCACGTGTGACTTCTCTAGCCTGACAGACAGGACTGCTGACTGTGGGCTCATCCAGACAGGCCGAAAGGGAGCCACTCAGGACCACTCTGACGCCATGAGAACTGGAAGTCTTAGAAGTATCTGGGATCAGAACTCTTGGCGTGGGCATCGGCATTTCCATGATAGGTAGGCATGAGCATGAACGTTCGCCAGCCTCATTCTGTAAGCAGCAACTGTGGATGTGCAGGAGCCAGAACCAGAGAGGGAGGCCACGGTGGATGGACCCAGTCGGGGCTGCCACAGATGACTGTGCGGATTATGGCCCAGACTACTTCAGGTGGCACCATGTATAATACAGAGTATAAGAATGGCACCCACTTGAGTACACAGCCTGCGTGGTCATAGGCAGTAGCCCTAAAAGACTGTGGTCACTGTACCTGTGAGGCTGTCCTTCACCATTGCCTTGGAGACTTGAAGAGATAACTGAGAGAACATGTTGAAAGACCCTGATTTCAATTAAACAGGCATGTATGCATTCTAGCTGCTTGTCATGGACTGGATTTGGCCCTGCAAGATTTCTCTGTGGAAGCCCTAACCTCCAATGTGACTGTATTTGGAGACAGTGCCATTACATAGGTAATTAAGGTTAAATGAGGCCATAAGGGTGAGGCCCCGATCTTATAGAACTGCTATCCTTATAGGAAGAGGAAGAAACACCAGGAAGCTCTGTTTGAATGTGAACAGAGAAGATGCTGTGTTAGGGCGTAGCAAGAATATGGCCGTCTGTGAGACTGGGTGGGCTGTCTCATAGAAAATTACCCTAACATCATCTTGGTCTTAGATTCCTAATCTCCAGAATGGTGATAAGATAAATTTCTGTTTAAACTGCACAGTCTGTGGTATTCTGTTATAGCAGTCCGAAGTGACTAATATATTACTACAGAGCCTTTAAAAGTGGACATGACTTCATTTTGTAATCACAGGCTACATGTAAAAATAGTGACTAAGGTGATGCCTGAGATCCCTTAAGCAGTGGTCCTCAACCTTCCTAATGCCACAACCCTTCAATACAGTTCCTCATGTTGTGGTGACCCCCAACTATAAAATTATTTTTGTTGCTACTTCATAACTGTAATTTTGCTACTGTTATGTCTTAGGCGACCCTTGTGAAAGGGTCATTCGACCCCCAAAGGGGTCGCGACCCACAGGTTGAGAACCACTGCCTTACAGAGATCTAAGATTCCAACTACAGTTGCACGAACAATGCCATTTCTTCTTAGCCTGACTGATATAATAACCCTCACCTTATTGTCATTCTACAGTCATAACTATTACCCCAGCACAGTCATTTCCCATCCATCCTGCTCTTCTCACATTATTTAATCTCTCTCTGCTTAGTTTCTGCAGCTATAAAATAATATCCCTCACCACACAAGCTTATTATGAAGACTAAGCGAGTTAATATATGCAAAGCATTTAGAATAGTGCCTGCCACATAGTGAGCACTCTATAAATGTTGGCTCTTCTTCTTTGATTCCTTACCATCATCATCATCACCCTCCCACCACCACCACGATCATCGTCATCATCATCACCGCAGTTGTTGTTGAGAGAAATCACTCTTGCCTTAAAAACTACAGTGCAAATCTCTAAGCGACTCTCGAAACAAGTGAGGATCAAAGGCCTTGCGCTTCCAGGCACCGTAGTCGGGGCTGAGACTCGGGTGAGCCGGAAGGGACAATGTCACTTCACACAGGGTCTGTTCACTTGCTGCTCTGTATCTCACCCAAAAGTGGCACTGGCTATGCATGTAAGTAACTTCCCAAAGTACCTGCGATGTATTGTGAAAGGAATCCAGGATGTGCTAGGGTATCTCCCTGGAAGCTGACAAGCAAACTCTCTGACACTTTGCCGCTTCCATAGAGAGAATTCTGGGAGTAATGACCCGCATGTCTAACCTCATAAAGCTTTCTTAGGATCGCAGGCAACTTTCAAGGTTATTATGGGGCTGTGGAAATGGACTAGGAACCAAAAGTCCTAAAAGTCCCCAGTCACCTTTGATTGGCTTCCCAGTCTCCAGCCGGTCACTTCCACCTGTCCTGTGTGTCCTCACCTCTGTCCCGGGTCTGCCTGCATACCTCACTTCAGTGCCTTGTAAACTGAACAACACCGCATTAGATACGAAATGGAAGTTTTCGCTTTGGTTCTGATTAACTTTCAAAGTTAAGTAACTGAACCTAAAAGAAGCAACAATAAGCATAAGATCCAACTGGCAAATTTGGGAGGGAAGCGATTTTTTTTTAAATTAGGAAATGTATACCAAGGACTCTTTGATAAGAAAGTGAGTATGGTCCATCAATTTATCTAAGGCAATTTCATGGAATTTTCTTACTCCGATTCAGATGGTTGGAAATGCCATATGACTAATGCTATTTTATGAAAAAAGGGCATCATGGCTGTGGTACAACTGACATAATTTTCAACAAAACCTACTCTTCTACATCAATTCCTTTGAATCAAAACCACATGAAAATCAATCTTTCCATTTTATTGAAGATAAAGAGGGCAGTGATGAAGACACTGACATCTCCTTCTTTTATCCCCAGACTTTTAAATCAGAAAAATCCATTTAACATTGAGCTAATTTCTTCACTGACATTTAGCTCTAAATGTCAAGTTGCTCCAAAATTTTATTTCTTGATTTTTTATGGTTTGTTCCCAGCCTTATTCAGTTGATAAAAACTGAGTTAGTATGATGTCATTTGAGGACTCTCCAGTATGAGAAAATGCATAAGAGCCTAAGAGAGGAAAAAAGAGAGTTAGAACTCAGGCTACTCGGTTGGAATCAAGCATGGACCAAAATGAAAAGAAGCCTGTACAATTCCTTACAACTCTGGAGCTTTTAGAAAGCTATTTCTAAGCTCTACAATGTAGCTAGTTAACAGGAAGAGCACTTCATTGTTGCCACAGAGAGCGACATTTGTCAGACATCTCTCATTTCACAAAAGAAGCACCATGTGATAGTGCCGGGAAATGAGATGAGGTAGATTTGAGATCACAGAGTGTTACTGCTGGAAGGAGCCTTAGTGATCTCTTAGGTTTTTTTGGTTTTGGTTTTTCATGTTACTGATGAGGAACAAACTCCAAAGCGGTAAAGAGGTTTGTAAAAGCACTGAGGCTGGTTGGTGGCTTCTGGACGAATACATTAAACATTTTGGGAGGAAAGTGTCTTTTCAAGGTCAGACACTTGAACTTCATTTGGAGACCAAATTCAAATAATTTTTATTGGAATCTAAAATGAGTTGCCTGTTTCCCTACCTTAATAAGGCATTAATGTATAACTTCATTTTAACTTGTAACAACGTCTCTTCCTTAGCCTCACTGCTGCACCCCCCCCACCCCCCCACCCCCAGGAATACTGCAACTATTTGCAGTGCTTCAATATCAATCTTCTGGGAGCAGAATATCACTGACACTAACAACAGCCAATACATGAGCATAGGAATGATGCATGCCATAGGCAGAGGGGACAGTGTTTGCTTTCTCCCCCATAGCAGATGGTGGCTCCTCCTTTACCAGGAACACTGTAGGGAGGAGGAGATGCCCAACACTAGGGTACCAGCACCTGGCCCATGCCCACTGCTCAGCAGTTAGCATGAAAGGAGAGACTCTCTAGTAAGGACATAACTGATGTTAGTCTAACCACACTCCTTCAGCCCATGGCCTCAGTGATCAGTGTCACAGATTTATATACTGCCTAATTGAGATAATGCTGGTAATATGTGATGAAATAAAAAGTGACACTCGATCATCTCCATGAGCGTCAAGTCCCCAACATTATTGTGTCATCCCTGAGCACCATACGGATGAACTCCGGACACACAGCTGCCTGATCCTCTCACGCTTCTCACAGGAGTTTTCAAAAAGTTGCCATTGAGTTTTCCTTATACGATGTATTCCTAGTCTCTCTCTCCCTGCCTGTTATACCCTTTGGTTATTGTGACTCACCTTTGTGATGCAATGGGTTGAAAGACTTGGCGAATTTGGGTTTGGCAGACAATTCCGATGAGTTTTGCTGCACAAAAGAAAAATAAGTTATTTGGACATTTGTAATATCCTTTTGGTGACAGTATATATCTCCTGACTTCTGGATGGCATTACGATCCTTTATTTCATCTACATAGTGCATCCTTCTCCTTTCAAGAAATTAGAGGACTCACTTCTTTATTCTTTCCTATGCTTTAATCAATTTAAAATGCCTAAGAACTTTTTTTAAAATTTTTTTTATCGATTTTTAGAGAGAGAGGAAGGGAGAGAGAGATAGAAACATCAATGTGAGAAACACCGATCGGCTGCCTCCTGCACGCCCCCTACTGGGGATCGAGCCCGAAACCCAGGCATGTGCCCTGACCTGGAATCCAACCGGGACCTCCCAGTCCATGGAACAACCCTCAATCCACTGAGCCACACCGGCCGGGCCTAAGAACTTATTTCTAAGGGAATTTTTGTTCCTGTATACTCTTAGGACTTCTAACAACAAACTAAACAAACAAAAACACAGTTCTAAAGAAGCTATTATCCCTTTTTATGCCCATGCATTTCTTGGTTCACACGTTTATCACTAGAAGAACGTATGGAGGGAAAACAATACTTCTAGTAAAGTCTCTGGTAAAGCTTTGCTTTACTCTGCCTCCTCTTAGGATTCAAATCGCTTCGTGAATAATGCTTTTGTCATTGGTGCCGAGGCTAAATGGAATTTTAAAGTGTTTAAATTAAATGACCAAACTGAAATAAAATATTTAAAATAAACAACATGCATTTCCTGGGAAAAGTAAAAGTGTTAAGATGCATTATGTTCTTTTCCACTGGTTAATTAGTTTTTGCATTAATTTAACATCCCACGTGGAATGCTGTTGTGAGCCAGGCACTATAGAAAGAGAAAAAAGCTTCATTTCTTAATACAGTTCATGTCATAAGAAAGCTAAGACCGAAGAAATAGGTTCTTATATGTAGTAGATAGCCCAATGACAATCTCCTGATTTTCACTGACATGTGCAAGGGGCTACCCCACGTCGAGTTCTGAAAAAAAGAGTATCATAGAGGCAGGAGTGAGAAATGTCTGAAAGTTCCAAAGCAAGGAACTGGTTTTCTAGAATTCAGGGTTTGTAAACGTATACTACTATAACCCTAAAGAAAAATTCTAAGGGCATGGTCATTGCTATTTAACCTACATGCTGCCCCATTTAGAGAGAAGAGTCTTAGGTTGCAACCCTCTCAAGGACTCTACAGGGTCTGGGGAAAGGCAGCCTCTTCGGCACGTCCAGGTACATGCGTTTAAGCTGCTGCTTCAAAGCAGGACCTGATCATTGGAAATAAGAATAAATAAATCCCTTCTTTGTGGAGGGGGCATCTGTTGAGGTTACTAGAGTCTGACTCTTGGTTCCGAGTTGTTGAGAATGTGGCTAGGGACAATGGTGGCTCGAGGGCTGGTTTTTGCCGAGAACATCATGGGTTTCTGCTTCCATTCCCTTCAACCAGCTGTTCAAATGCTCACTGCTGCTTTTAAGAGTCCCCACTCACCACCTCTCTGTCCATTCCCCAATGGATGGCATTGTCCCCTCTTTTAAAAAAGGTGCCCGGCTGGTGTGGCTCAGTGGTTGAGTGTTGACCCATGCACCAAGAGGTCACCAGTTCGATTCCCGGTCAGGGCACATGCCCAGGTTGTGGGCCAAGTCCCAGTGGGGAACATACTGGAGGCAGCCAGTCAATGTTCTCTCTCATCAATGCTTCTATCTCTCTATCTCTCTCTCCCTTTCTCTCCCTCTTAAAAATCAATAAAGTAGCCCTGGCCAGTTTTGCTCAGTGGTTAGAGTGTCAGTCTGCAGACTGGAGAGTCCCGGGTTCAGTTCCCACTAAGGGCACGTACCTTGGATGCAGTTCATCCCCGGCCCCGGTTGGGGTCGTGTGGGTGGCAGCCAGTCGATGTGTCTCTCTCACATGGATGTTTCTCTCTCTCTCTCCCTCCCTCTCTATTCAAAGATAAATGCAAAAAAAAGTCCTTGGGTAAGGAGGGGAAAAAAATGAATGAAGTAAAAAAATACATAAATTTTTAAGAAAGTATCCGGGTCTGAATTGTCCCACATCATGTCCCCAGTCTGTACATGTCACTCTGTCTGCACCAGCCTGAAACATGCTGTGTCCAGGGAAGAGTCTGATCCCTCCGCCTGCAGTCCAGCTTCTCAGTCTGACTTCCCAGGACTCCTCCTCTCTCAGTTAGTCTCCCTCTTTCATTTGTCTCCAGACTTTCTCTTCGCTGGTTTCTTCCTCCTGAGATATGAACCTGCGCACATCCTGGCAACTCAGCTCTGGCCTGTCCCTCCTGTCCTGTGTCAGCCTCTGGTTACCACCCGCACTCTCTTTTCTCTCCCACGAGGACATCTTGACAAGACCATTCATCCCCAGTGTTATCTCTTCTGCTGCTCCTCATCATTCCTCAACCAGCGAAATCGGGGTCCCCACTTATTCATTCAAACTCCCTCAGAAAATTACAAATGCTCATCTCTTCTTCTGCTCAATGGGCTTTTGTTTTAAAGCAAAAGGGCCACCTAACCAGAAAACAAAGGCCCATTTTTAGCACTTGGTTTGCATGCAGTTGGAGATAAGATACAAATCCAGAAGGTGAAGACCGCTCCCTGACCACCGTGGCCTTCTGAAGAATGTCACCACTAGTTAGAAACAGAGAGAAAAGACACTCAGGCATCTCTGCTTTTGTTTTCGTTTTGTTCTGTTTACTTTGGGGTGTTTTCCTCTCTTTGGTTTTCAAATGAGAAAAAGTCTGACATCCTGCTTTGTAGAGTGAAGTGTGTCCTGTCTCTCTTTTTTTCTTAATATTTTTTTCTTTGTTGATTTTAGAGAGAGAGGAAGGGAGAGGGAGAGAGAGAGCGAAACATCGATGAGCAAGGACATCGATTGGCTGCCTCCTGCATGCTCCTCACTGGGGATCAGGCCCACAACCTGGGCATGTGCCCTGACAGGGAATCGAACCAGTGACCTCTTGGTGCATCGGTCAGCGATCAACCACTGAGCCACACTGGCTGGGCCTGTCTCACTTTCTTAAGGTAAGGTTTTTCTTTAGTGCAATCCCATAGGCTGTAGCTCCTTCTCTTTCTTAAGAGTAGTAAATTATTTATTAGTTTCCCATTTCTGGCTCAAGAGATTTGGGTTCTTCAAGATGTAAACTCAAATTCACAGAGTGCTAGAACTTCAACTTTGAGGAACTAGTCCAACACTTCATTTTTACACTTGAAAACATTGAAACCAGAAGGCACTAAGCGACGGTCCTAAGATCACACTGCCAGTCGTTACTGGGTCAGAAATACAGGGCACAGCACCCAATGTCCAGCTTCTCACCGTCATCATGTATCTGACCCCTTTGGGTGGTGAGCGCACAGTGCAATTCAGATGATGTATTATAGAATTGTACACCTGAAACCAATATAATGTTAGTAACCAATTATTGTTAATTTACAGATGATAAGAAGAAGAAGAAATAAAAGTGAAATCAAGAAAATCAGGACAGATCTGCTGGCTCGTGGGCCACTGACCCCCAATTTCCGGCAGTGCTCTGTATCTGCTGTAAATTCACACTCAGGAAAAACTGTTAATGCCAGAAATTAATTCCCTCACCTTTTTTAAATTTCATAAGGCACTTAAGACAGTAGACTTCTATCAAACACAGATATCTCTACTTAGGAAACTTTTTTGAAAGACCCTCAGTGTTTTGCTGAAAGACAAAAGTCGAAATTAACTTCAAAAATACGAAATACGGATGCAAGTTCTTTTGTTTCTGACTATACTCTCCTTATAGGAGTTGTGCCGGCTGGCAAAGAATGAAACAGAATCATCTGTTTCCACACAAGTGTCAGCTTGTAGACTTAAAAGCTAAAACTGCATGGGACAATATTATACCTGCTTAAGAGAGAAAATTCAGAGATTGTATTTTATATATTAGAAGTTAGGTCTGGCTGGTGTGGCTCAGTGGTTGAGCATCGACCCATGCACCAAGAAGTCGCTGTTTGATTCCTGGCTAGGGCACGTGCCCAGGTGCAGGCCCAATCCCCAGTGGAGGGCGTGCAGGAGGTGGCCAATCAATGTTCTCTCTCATCGATGTTTCTCTCTCTCCTTCTCCCTTCTTCTCTCTCTAAAATCAATTTAAAAAAAATTTTTTTAATTAAAAAAAATAAGTTAGACAAGATTTTACCCTTTACTTTTTTAGAGAAAGAAAAATGGTTTATCGGAGAGCCAAAAGGTCAGGCAGAGAAAAGGGCCTTACCGACTAGTTTTTGGGAGACAAGTCAAACAAAAGCAAATGACATTGTTCAAGGGTATTTGCTCACAATAGCACTCACAGACCTGGATGCTTGAACATCTTTGAAGTTTTTTATGCCTTCTCTCATTCATTCATTCGTTCATTCATTCATTCATTCATTCATTCCCTCACTCACTCAACTCTATAATGAATATTGACCATGTGCTGGACAGCGTGACAGATAACCAGAATATGATGGTGACAGAAACTCCAGGGGTTCACACAACAGTGGTCTCTCTGTGGGGCTGTAGAAGAAGGAAAATAGGAAACTGGATCCTCGTGCCTTGCATGCAGGGCCGTGGGAAGCCATTACCTTTGATGATTGCTTCAGAGAGCTGGCAGGAGACAGCGTGGTGACCAGCAGTTGCCGCAGCTGTGAGGACCACAGAGAGGCACTGCTGAGTGCGTGCAGCCACACCCGGGCCGCTCACGAACACTGCAGGCCGAGACTCACTCTAACCGCAGGCTTCCTGCAAGCTAACCGACTGTAAGCATGGGCGTCTGATGAAAGGGTTTATCTTCTTTTATTTCTTTTCTTTACCTATAAACAAGTCTAGAACTAAGCAAAGAACAGCAGTACCAAAAGCCGTGATAATTCACATTCTGGACATTAGTAATTGGCAGTCATTGCTAAGTTGAAATTTACCTTTGAAGTGAAGAGTTTCCTAACCGTGTGACTTGTGCAAATGAAAGAGTTGTTTAGGCCAATCAAGAACAGCCAATTGCTTCTTTGTAATTAGCGGAGGTTTTTTGCATGTGCAACAATTGTGTTAATGATAAAATATTCTTATGTTCTTATTAAAACAAAGCCTACAACTGTTAGCTGACTTCCTTTTCCTCAACAGAATTGCTCAATGCTTGGGACAAATAATAAAATGAGTTTATTTAACTTTTTTCTATTATCTTTTGCTTACATTGGTCATTCCTTTTAGGTTATTTAATTTTAGAAGCTATTTACTTTATAAAACTCTAGAAATATAGAAGTCGATATGTCTTTCAGTAAATGGATAAGTTCAAGAAATAAAAGGGAATTCACCCCTAAGGAGAGCACTTTTGCTCGTTAATTATTGCCAAACCATAAATTAAGGTATAAAAATTAAAAGTAAAAAACACTTTTCCTTTTCTTTCTATAATGTCACATTATAGGTTGTGATTGGTTCTATACAGCTTATTACCAGCCGTGAGTGTTTAGGTCCTTTGTCTCCTGGTGGGGCCTGCCTTTGTAAAATCACAGAATCGTATTACAGACGTGCCCATCATCTGTTCTATGTGAACAACGGCATCAGAACTGAAAGGGGAGGGTTGGGTGCCTGGGTTAGGAGATAAAGAGAGAAAGGAATACACATACCTTACTATCCAAGAGCATTCCAAAACATAAGATGAACAAACCCTTAAAAAAAGAATAAATCACGCGTTATCTTTCCCAGGAAAGACAACATATGTAATATTACGTTCTGCTATATCACCCAACATTGACATTGTCTCCCTCTTAGACTGTGGGCCCCTTGAAGGCAAGGACACTATGTGACCTCCACAGTGCCTGGCGTGACACAACGCACTCAAAAAAATTATTGTAATCAAACGTATAAATAAATAAATTATTGCGTGAATAACGTGTTAAATGCATGTGGACGGGTGGGGAGCCTTTTTTCTGCTAAGGGCCGTGTGGATATTTTGCACATCATTCTCAGGCCACACAGAATTGTCAGCTTAAAACTTAGCCTGCTGGATTTGGTCAGGCTAATTTGGTGAGGGGTGTGATGTCAGCTGGTATTGATTTCGGGGCCTTATGCGGCCCACGGGCCACACGTTCCCCACCCCGAGACTAAACCCAAAATAAATAAATTCCACTTGCTTCTACACCTCAGCCGTTCTTTAGGACAGGCATTAAGTGAACATTTACTGAGCATCTGTGCTGGCAGGGGCACTGCGGTCCAACCCTAAGGCCAAACAGAGGGAGCTGACCTCTATGGCATCCTGTCCCTCGAGTCCAGCCTTTGGGGAACCCCTGGCAGAGGCTTTCTTAGAGCTTGAAATCCTCCTCCCACTCAGAGCACCCTCAGCTGGTGCCTGTTCACACAGCAGATCCCCATGGGCCTGCCCTCAACAGAAGCTCCCTAAACCTGTCGCCGTTAGGTGGGTGCTGTCCATGGTTGCCGGCTGTGTCACCACCTAAACGCTCCCAGGCATGCTGGTGTGGGTGAAGGACCAGGTGCTTTGAGGAGACACCTACTGAGCCATTACTAAGTGCCAGGCACTGTGATACATGCTAAATTATCTTATTTAATCCTGGTGTTTATTCTATGATATAAGTAATAACATCACCCCTGCCCAACAGAAGAGAGAACTCAGGGACAGAGAGATTAAGTCATTTGTCAGAGGTCACACAGTTGATAATGTGACATATTCGAGCCCAGACCTATTTAACCCCTGAGCTCAAAGGTTTAACCACCGGTTCCCTGAGTCATTGTGCAGAGATGACCTAGCAAACATCACTGAACCAGGCTTGAAGGCTCTCTTCCAGATTCATCAAAACCTAAGGATTACTCTGTCCACCTACTCCCCAAACACTCTCTGACTGAGGCACGTAAAACCCATTCTTTGCAGCAGGGGTTGGCCAACTTTTTCTGTTGAGAGCCAGAGAGTGAATATTTAGGTCTTAAAGGTCACACAGTCTTGTTACAACTGCTACACTCTGCTGGTGGGAAGACAGCAGCCACAGATCATATGTAAACAAATGGGTGTGGCTCTGTTTCCATAAAACTTTATTTACAAAAACACCTCTGGCTGCGGTTCACCAACTTCTGCTCTACCTCGCTCCGGGGACCACCTTTGCTCCATTCAGAGTCAACAAGTTCTCTTGATCTACCTCCCTCCTCTGGGTGCTTTCACAGAGATCTGCACTAGGGAGAGGGCTGGGTCAGCAGCAAGAGAGATTAAGGTTAGCTCTGTGAAGCCTAGCGGATTAAAAACCCTGCAATAATTCCTGAAGAAGTCTAATATTCTGCTTCAGTATGAGAGTAACTGTTGGAAAAATTGATCTTTTTTATTTTCTTTCCTAGTCACAGTTGCCAGGCAGTTTTGGTTATAGTCCTGCTGGAGACAGGGAGATAAGAGAGCCTTAAGAGTTGTCTTACTGACCTCAGTTCTCTGTAACTATTCCAGTTACCTGATGGTACAATGGGTTATTTTTATTGTTCTCACCTGGAATGCATTGAGCAATGCAAAAATAACATGCAACGCCAGGTTCTGGCTGTCCACCATTATTGCTATGCCAAAGCCCCAGGTGAGCCCCAGCAGAGGGGTCAGAATGAGCAGGCTCTTCCCCATGCGGACGACAGTGGCCTTGTTGTCCTGACTCAGTCTCTCTCCAACCGCCGGCCTCCAGAGCTTCGTGAGCACCAAGAGCACCACGACCACGTTCACAGCCACAATAGTCAGTGCAGGAACAGCGAGGGCCAACAGGGGTTTGCTCCCCCCGGACCAGTTGAGCCAACACATGTCTTTCCTTCTGTAGCCATTGCTGGGTTGTGTGACTGCAACGGTGATGACGGATATAATGAGAGGACAGCCATAGCCCAGGCAGAACCCGACAGCCATGATCAAAGACATAGCCATGTGGTGGAACACAAGCACCATCCGATAAGCCAGCAGGAGACCGAGTGCAAGCATCCAAAAGAACAAGGAGAGGTAGAAAAAGTGTGTAAAGAACACTGCAGCTATGCAGATCCCAGAGGGGTTTGCCGTGGCATCCACGGTGGCAGCAACAATAAACCAAACGTCAGCAATCAGGAGGCATAGGGAGATGTTGACCATGCAAATGTGACGTGTGTGCGAGGTTTGATTTTTCTTGGCCTGCTTCCAAAACAGAGCCTCAATGATCAGGCATAAGATGAGACTTCCGATGGAGACACCCATTCCCACAAAAGTAATCCATCTCACAACTGGAATGATTGCAGAGGGGACAAAGGGTGACATCAGCATGGAGAACGAGGTCAGGTGAGTACACTGGCACATCACTGTATCTGTAGTTTCATTCACTAGGTGACAGCCTGCATCATTCCATTGCAAATGACTGAAATCCCAAAACATACAATGAGGCTGGCTCAGGTTTGACTCTATCTTGGAAAAAATCAGGGAAATTTCATTGATGGAATAGTTTTGGATAATCGTGGATATCACGGGCCCATTGACGTGAGCGTTTCCAATTTTGGTACTGGGTAGAATGTTCCCCAAGGTCAATGAGGCCATACTGATAATGGTTTCTGGAAGGGACCCCTGGAATTGGTCTGGCCCAATGAACACACGGCCTCTGATGGGCATGGAGGTATTTGGGGGGAACATTTCAGTCTGATAGTTGTAACCTGTCTTATGTTGGCTTTCAGACACTGGAATCCCTTCCCAGTTAATGAATTCTCGAGAAAAGTTCAGAGGCAGAGCTGTTGGAGGTACCAGAACGCTGATGTTTTCCAGTGTCTCTAGTAACTGTGAGCTGGCTTGCTTGTCTTCCTGGAGTAACACTGTCCAGTTGCTCACTGATGTTGAATGAAGGATGTGGTCGGCTATACTGATGACATCCTGAAATGCAAAGATGAGAGGCAGTTTCTATTTTGAATAACAGTGGATAGTTGTAAGTACTAAGTACAGGAAAATTGCCCTGAGAATTGCTCTGTTGAGGATCATATAAAAACTCATCGGTGAAATTCAGCTCAGTTGCTCTGTACAGCGGAAGCTTTGGGTTAAGAAATTTGGGTCAACAGGACCAGACGAGTTTCAGAGCGATCGTCCCAGGGCATTCATGGGCACCCCAAAGTTTCAGCATAGATGAAAAAAATCTTGCAACTGGGCTGCACTGGTGTGCACATCCTTGTCCCAAGATGCAAACGACTGCATGACTCCCTGGCACAAAGAGCGAACGTTGCTGTCAACTGCTTTCCCATGTTAGGCTTGTTGTGCTAACATCAGAAGTTCTAAATTCATGTCATGGACATTCAGGTTTTAACTCATGTGTATTTATTATTTTTGTTTAATAGAAAAGGGAATATAAAATAAAAATCCTTGAAAACTGGAGGCAAAACTTTGACCGGTGTGGCTCATTGGTTGAGCATCGACCCATGCACCAAGAGGTCGCCGGTTCGATTCCTGGTCAGGGCACCAGGTTGAGGGTCTGATCCCCAGTGTGGGGCATGCAGGAGGCAGCCAACTGATGTTCTCTCTCATCGATGTTTCTATTTCTCTCCCTCTCACTTCCTCTCTCTCTAAAATCAATAAAGGAAAAAAGAAAATTTTTTTTAAATGGTCGTTTTGTCCCTCAGAGTCCTCTGCCCTTCTGAGGGCTCCGGTGCCCAGGTATTCTGTTCCAAGTGTCTGTCACTCTGGCCCAATGTTACCCTAAGCGAGCCTTCTGTGGTCCCTGGCCGAGGGTCCCAGGGCTTATTTCTTCTAATGCCTCCAGGAACCTCTGCCTTCTTTTGGTTTGTGTTTGCCTGCTCTGTTTCGTTCTTTAATTAATGTTTAGCCTTTTTTATATCATTTGTTTTAGTTGGTCTCTTGCAAACAATACATGCTCAAACTTTTAAAAAAATCTGAGCATCTTTTCTTTGATTCAAGGAGTTTAACTTATTCATATTTAGTGTCATTTCTGACATAATGGTCACTTTATATAGTTAAGTACAACTGTGTGATTATGTAACATTATACATTATACAATCCAGTTCTGCAAAATATGATATACTCTATCATAAAATGCAGACATCCAAAATGTTTGGAAGGACATGTATTCAATAAATATTTGTTGAGTACCTGCCACTGTCACTCATCATTCTTCTAGGTACTCATGGGACACCTAAAATGTAAGCAGCATCTATTCTTGGGTGACCACAGCATAGATCTTTTTTTTTTTTTTTGCTTATTTGCATGTCTTTTAGTGACCAAGTCTTCTTTCTGTAATTTTAAGTTAATTTTTAAAAATCCAAGCCAAAGCATGACTTTCCCAGTCAAAAAAAAGTTCTTAAAATACGCATGACTGAAGTCAGAGTTTTTGGCCACAGGAAAGAGAAACTGCAGACTGCAAACAGATATTAAAAAGTTGGCACCTGGGTCACAGTGTCACCTGGTGGGGAGGTTCACCCTTCCTCTAAGCCAGGTGCTGCCCAGCCGGCCTGCCTAGAGGATACTCCCGGTTATTTTGAACTCACAAAACAGATCCATGAGTTCCTTTTTTTTTTACCCTCACCTGAGGACATTTTTCCATTTTTTGTTCAGATAGAGTGGGAGGGAGAGAGAGAGAGAGAAACATTGACGTGAAAGGGACACATCGAGTGGCTGCCACCTGCACGACCCAACCAGAGCTGGGGACAAACTGCAACTGAGGTACATGCCCTTAGGGGGAACCGAACCCAGGTCTCTCTGGACCACAGGCCTACGCTCTAACTGCTGAGCCAAACCAGCCAGGGCCCCATGAGTTCTTTATACATGGCGGAAGAAGCCGTAAAAGTCACGCAAAAACTGTGACATGGCTCTTCAGTTTTTCTCAACAGTTGTCCTCTAACTCAGGCTTTTGGCCTTCCTCCTGTGAGGCAGAGCATCAAAAGTGGGCCCTTCAAAACCCTCGTGCACTGTTGGTGGGATTGCAAATTAGTACAGTCACAATGGAAAACAGTATGGAGGCTCCTCAAGAAATTAACAGAGGAACTGCCATAGGACCCAGCAATCCCACTTCTGGGTATATATATAAATCCAAAACACTAATTTGAAAGATATATGCATCCCTATGTTCACTGCAGCATTATTTACAAGAGTTAAGATGTGGAAGCTACCTAAGCATCCATCGACAGGTGGCTGGATAAAGATGTGGTACATATATACAATGGAATATTATTTGGCCATATAAAAGAATGCAATCTTACCATTTGCAACAACATGGAGGAACGTAAAGGGTATTATGCTAAGTGAAATAAGTCAGACAGAGAAAGACAAATACCGTCTGATTTCACTTATATGTGGACTCTAAAAAACAAAATAAATGAACCAACAAAGCAGAAACAAACTCATAGATACAGAGAACAAACTGATGGCTGCCCGATTGGAGAGGGACTGAGGGACTGGGTGAAAAAAAAAGTGAAGAGATTAAGAAGTGCAAATTGGCAGTTACAAAGTAGTCACGGGGATGTAAAATACTACACAGGGAATATAGTTAATAATATTGTAATAATTATGTACGGTAAGGGGGTTACTAGACTTATCGGGGCGATCACTTTGTAAGTTATACAAATGTCTAAATTATATTAATTTTAGGTGTACTATGCTGTACACTTAAAACTAATATAATATTGACTGTCAACAGTAACTGAATAATTGAAACAAGTGTGTAAATGATAATACATACAGTGACCTTTCAAGCACAGGCAGACATACCTCCATTGTGGAACTGGACACACTGAAGTGGCTTGCCAGTGACAGAGATGAGACCTGGCCCAGAATCGACACCACCGAAGCCAGATTCCCAGCTGTGGTCGATGGGCTTTGCTGAATGACGACCGAAAGATTCCGCACCACGGATGACATGGTTGCCTCGGTGGCATTGTTTGTAATCACGCTGAAATTCTAGAAATAAAAGCGGTTACATTCTGAACATACATATGCTTGAGTTTCATCAAATGTAAGTCAGAATTCTTGGCCAATCACTAACATTTGTACGGTGCGTTATAATGGAGGATATTGTATAATAATGATAACAATGATGGCTTTCTATAGGTCAGAGCTGTTACTCTGTGTTCAGGCTTTACCAGGGATTTGTTGATTGAATCCTCATGCCACCCTTGAGGGAGGTGCCATTAAGAAAATTGAAACTTAAAGAGATTTATTAAAAGGCATTTTCATATAAATTATTATCCTAATCATACAGAAACTGATGTTCGGTGAGATTCAGTGACTTTCCAAACAGTACCCAGCTAGGAAGTGGCAGTAGGTCCTGTCATAGTCACTATACTCTTCTGAGAAATGCTTGCGAGACAGGACTTTTCACTGCATGTGGAATTTTACTTCTTCCTTGAAGCTCCATCCACTTCCACTCCTCTAGCTTGGAAGGCAGCCAAGAAGGGATATTCCCTTCTAGGCAAAACAAGTCAACCAAGGACTGCAGATCCTATATCTTTTCCTTTTTGTTCTTCTTGGTTGACAGTGCTGTTCTCTGCCCAGGGTACCCGGGATCTGTCTGCCCTCACCCTCAAACCCTCACATAGACAGGGTCCATGTCCATAACTGAGGCAAAGAAGGCAAGAACAAGGATAGACCCCAGAAACATCTGGTCCAACCTCCCTCCCCAGTTTACAGATGAGGTCCAAAGAAGAGAAGTCTTTTAATGAATACCATCCTGAGGTATGCAGTAGCAGAGTCTCCAGCTGGGGCAGAGCTTCTGCTGAGAACGAAGATCTATTTGCATAACAGTGTCTGTGAACTAGTTTTGGGGTCCCTCTTTCCTATGACTTGAGTTCTAATTCCTCGCCATTTGCTTCTATCTATCTGCCTTAAGTACTCGAACCTTCCAAAGAGAGAACTGTGTGAAGGTCACAGCCCTGGACTGAGACTCAAAGGGCCATGTTCCTAGTTCAACACTATCGCAACCAAAGAGACCAACTGCTAGCCCCTTAGTCTTTCATTTCTTGATCGCTAAAAGGAGTTTGATAAACCAGATGACCCTTAAGGTCCATTGCAATTCTATCATTCTACATGGCTCACCTTTGGCTGACCTCAGCCCCTGCCCTGGTTTTTGACATGTGTACATTCTCACTACTAGTACTAAGTCTATCGCTTTTGATTCACACCTTCACTTGGATCTTTGATTCCCAGGCTTACTGGACTTCTGAGTCCAGCTTAGTTGCTGTTCAACTGTCCATTGTAGACTTCTTCAGCATTGCTTCACTCAACTGCAGCAGCCCTCCCCACCAGAACCATCAACTCGGATACTTTCTGACCTTCTCAGCTGCCACCTACACTCTGCTACTCATGCCCACACTCCTTGGGTTTACCAGGGTCTGATGGCACCATTATGTTCTGCGTATTTACAAATGAGACAATTTGATATATTTCACCCTCCTCCTAGTCATGCTCAGTAAGAGGTACCTACTGTGAAACTCAAAACCAAGGCATGTCTGCAAGGTGGAAATGTCTTACCTTCTTCAGTTCTTCCAGCTGAGAGAGCACACATGTCTCTCTGATGACCTGCCACCCAGAGGGCTGGCACTTGGCTGTGATGTTCCCAGTGTAGCCACTGCTACAAGGAAGAGTATACTCGTCACTCTTAAACCCAAATCCAAAGACGATGCTGTTACACTGAACTGGAAGAGAATGGAAACAGAGAGGGAAAAAAATGTCTCTGAATATCCTGGCACTCTCTATAAATCATATAGCTGTGCTTTAGAAATTGTATTTCTGGAGACAATACCCAACACAATTCGGGAGTAGAAGGAGCTTGTCTTTGATGCCCAGCTTCATCCCTATCAGTACCCTCTTCTCCTTCCTCATGAGGCTGGCCCTTTTCCCTGCAGGTGTCTGATCTTTGCCAATAATCTTAATTTCAGTGGGCTACCCACTAATATGTATTAGGTGAAATTAAGACAGGGTATGACCATCCCCAGGAAATATTTTTACTGTTTAAGGGAGGGCTAGAGAACCAGAAAATCTTCAAAACGCTACAGAACAAAGAATATGGTTAAAAGATGAGCCACTTGAGAGTGACATGTCCCACTTTGTACCCCTTTAAAAACTTCTTACATTGTGACCAGACCGTAGCTGCTCTTGCAGCTGACCTTTCATAATATCGTCTTCCCACGACCGGGACCGGGAAAAGGAGACCATGAATGGAAAATCAACAAGAGCTATGTTTTGGGTTGGTTTTCCCTGTTGCTCTGTCCTAAGTGCCTAGACACTTTAAACACTTAATAAATATTTGTTGAATAAGTTTTGTTGGAAGTGACATATATTTTGGTAGGAGAGGTTTAACACTGAATGTAAAGAAGTAAAAGGAAAGATAAGTTACCTGAAGAAAATAAGTAGTGTGTGTGTGTTTGTGTGTCTGTGTGAGTGGTTAAAGACCATAAAGAATATGCATTCTTTCCTTGGCTCCTTGAATCATCACTCAGGAATATTGTCAGCCCCAGAGATATTTCAACATGTATACCAGTAAACTCTTGCTGAATCATTCCATCCTGGCCTGCAGTGAAATCAGTCTTCCACAACACTTACAGCGCCGATCAGATCACCGATTAGCAAGGATCGGAACTAGTCCGCTGAACTTGAGTTTCATCATAAACAGCTGCCTGTTTCCACTGAAAGTTGGTCTAGAATAATTCGGTATCAGAAACCTCTCCAATCTACCTCCAAAGACACAAAGGAGCAACTAATTGGAGGACTCCCCTAACCTAAGCGGAGGGTGGGAATCTGGTGTTACCTTTTCCGACTCTGAAAGAGTCATGTTCTAATGGAAACAGCTTCTGAAGGCCTTGCTCAGCCTTCTCAGTCACCAGCGCCATGGCCGACAGCAGCTCAGACGTGTTGCTGGAGCCAACAACTTCGTACCCAGCAATGATGCTCCCGTCTCTTTAATGATTATGTGGAAAGAAAAGTGAGATTATTTATTCAGTCAGTCAGGGCCTACTCTTTTCACAGCATTGGGTTCAAAGGAATAAATCAAATAGATTTGGTCCCTGCTTTTATGGAGCTTATATTCTGGCAAAGGAGGCAAGACAAACAAGAAACAAGTAACCTTTATCTATAAGCATTTGTATAATCATGTAATATTTATTTTGTGTGTGTGTGTGTTGTTATGGGAGGCAGGTACAGTGATAAGAATAGCAGGTAGATATGGCGACCACTTTAAATAAGACTGGTCAGGAAAGGCTTCTCTGTGCAAAGGGTCTTTGCAGCTGAGGCCTGAATGATAAGAAGAAATGGCCAGTGATATAAAGCTCATTGGTGTAACATGCCAGCATGTGCAAAGGGCCTGAGGTAGAAAAATGTCTACGAATGTGACAAATTTAAAGACTAGGTATCAGGTCAAGAAATGAGATTGCTTCTCAATGCCTAAAGGTTTCAATGTGGGTTTTAAGAACCCTGGGTGAAAATAACTCAAGAATTGAATAAAATCAATTTAAGTTAGAAGACAAAAGAAAGAAAGAAAGAAAGAAAGAAAGAAAGAAAGAAAGAAAGAAAGAAGGGAAGAAAAACTAGCATAATTAATGTTCAATGAGCAAGAGAGAGAGAGGGGTAGAAGATGATGTTGGAGAAGTAGCCAGGAACCAGATCACAGAGGACCTTAGAGTTTGAATGTTATTTTTTATTTAAAAGTTTTATTTTTTATTAAAAGTCAGTGACATGATTAGATTTATTGTTTAAGGTCATCACTCTGGCTGCTGGGTAGAAAACAGAGGCAGCCCGGCCAGTGTGGCTCAGTGGTTGAGCGTCGACCCATGCACCAAGAGGTCTCCAGTTCAATTCCCACTTGAGGCACATGCCCAGGCTGTGGGCCCAATCCCCAGAGGGGGGCATGCAGGAGGCAGCCAATCAATGTTCTCTCTCATCGATGTTTCTATCTCTCTCTCCCTCTCCCTTCCTCTCTCTCTAAAAATCAATAAAGAAAAAAAAATAGAAATAAAAAGTTAAAGGATGACTCAAAAGTTTGGGTCTGTCCAACTGAGAAAATAGTATCGCTGTAATTGAGATTGGAGAAGTAGGTTTAAGGTTATGAGGAGGAGTGGGAGGACCCTCATTTTTGACATATTACATGTGATACTAGAAAATCAAGTGAAGACAGTAATAGGCAATTGGATATTTGGATCTGAAGTTTAGGAGAGAGGCCAAAGTCAAGTAATACATTTAGAAACCATCAGCTTACAGATGGTGCTTAAAGTCATGAAAGCGAGTGAGACTGCAAGTATTAAGTTAATTCTGCAATAACTTCATGAGTTAAATATTATATTATGCCCATTTTGTAGATAAGGGAGCTGAGTCCCAAAGAGAAGTTAAGTCAGGTAATTTTTAATTATTAATTGATGGACTAGAATCTGACAGGCCAAAGTTCAAATTCTTATTCATTGCATTGAATTACCGCTCACAATGTACAAATACATCCAAGTATCTTTTTATGTAGTGACGGTCATAATACCTTTGCGTCCATATGGCCCTTTTATATTCTTTACCAAGTATTTTCCTGCCTGTTTTTTTATTTGACTTAATGAAGTTAAATCAGGTTCCACAAGTATTAACAGCCCTGATTCACAAATAAATAAATTGAGACAGTGAGAAATTAAATCGTATAGTAAAGAGAGAAACCTACGTGTTGTATTTTATAGACATATGCCTATCTTAACTGTGATTTTGTCTATAAATTATTGGAAACAGCTTATAAGTTATATATGATCGAATATATGTTAGAAATATAAGTGGAAAACCAGGACCACAGAAATAAAAATATAAATATTGAATATAAAAATTATTGTTATAGAGTTTCAATTTGTCTGTGAATTCAATGGCAGTAAAGTCAAACAGGAAAACAATTATATAGATCTTGATTTAAGAAGAGAAGTGATGTTTTCCCTAGCATTGAATTTTAAAGAAAATTATACATGTAGGTCTTGATTATAAAGACATTATAAAGTCATGAGTAACTAGCCCTGGCCAGTTTGGCTCAGCGGTTAGAGCGTCGGCCTGCGGTCCGGAGAGACCGGGGTTCGGTTCCCGCTAGGGGCACGTACTTCGGTTGCGGTTTGTCCCCAGCCCTGGTTGGTCGTGCAGGTGGCAGCCCCTCGATGTGTCCCTTCACGTCGATGTTTCTCTCTCTCTCTCCTTCCTCTCTCTCCCTCCCACTCTATCTGTACAAAAAAATGGAAAAATGTCCTCGGGTGAGGATTTAAAAAAAAAAAAAGTCATGAGTAACTAAAGGATAATGCCCAGGACAATATAGTCATAGCAAGTTGCTGTTGAAAATTTCCCATAGCTATTGTTCAAGTTAACTGTGAAAATATCACATAAGAAGTCAAGTTCTCCGACCTCTAAGCCACTTCCTCTGTCAAACAGACTATAAATAGTGGGTAATCAATGCACACATGGCTAACTAACCAAATAACTTTGGAATTAAAGTATAAACAAAAGGATGATTTACTAAATATATTCTTATTTGCTGTAGACAATGACTACAGGGTTTTGAACTATGGTGTATATGTGATATCTACACAAAAATATACTATTTTACCCAAGGCCTCCCTTCTGGCTCCCAGTGACACATCGTACCCCGTTGTAGTTATGGAAGAAGAATCCATCCCTCTACAGCCCTCATCCACCCCTCACTCCTCCCCGTACATGCACAACGGGATCTCTGCTTCCTTCCAAATCCTGCCCCACTTCTAGGGGTTTCCAATTCTATTCTCTGCTCCATAACTTTGAGATTGCCAGTTAACATATCAGTTCCTAAGCTAATTCACATGAGCATATAGGCTTTCCTCTTCATATTTTTAAAGCATCACAGACTTTTGTCCAGTTTTAGTAAGAATCCTACTACAAAGACCAGGTCTGACCTATTTTCTGTCAAAGGCACTTGGCACAGCACCAGGCCTTCTGTGGGACGGACGTGCAAATCTGGGGATGCCCTTGACTTGGGCATTGTGTTACTTACCGAAACTGAGTGACATGAACTGACTCAAAACCTTGAATTCTTTTGTATGCTTCTTTAAGCTTACAAAAAGAAAAAAAAAAGGTAATATGTTGATTTTTGTCCCCACACAAGAAAGACATTTGAGCAAAACATAAATGCAGACAATAAATTAACCAACAGAAACACTGAGCAAAGGAAAAAGAGATAGCAGCAGGTAGTTGCACGTTATAAAAGAAAAATACAGTTAAAATGACAATTGAGAATACACACTCATGCATATAATTTACTTTTGAGGTTGCTAATAAAGAATAAAGAATTGCCTGGCTGGTGTGGCTCAGGGAATTGAGCATCGTCCCATGGACTGAGAGGTCCTGGTTTGATTCCTGATCAGGGCACACGCCCAGGTTGCAGGCTCGATCCCCAGTAGGGGGCGTGCAGGAGGCAGCCAATCAATGTATGTCTCTCACATCGATGTTTCTCTCTCTCTCTTCCTTTCTCTCTCTCTAAAAAAATCAATAAAAAGATTTTTTTTAAAGAAAAAAATGAAGTATCAACTGCCTACACTCAAGATGAATTGGGTGCCAGATAATATAATAAATTCACCCAAAACTTATTTTATCCTTCTCCCAAATAAACCATTTTTATAGATGCTTAAACTGAACCTATATACAAAGGATTTGTGCATGTCTTCAGATAGACCCACACCTGAGTCTCATGCTAGGTTGAGGCACACTGACTTAGCTTCATGTGACTTCATTGTGAAGTCCAGAACTTTGCTCAGTACCTCTCTTTAGTCTCTAAAGCATCTGGAATTTGTTCTAGAGGCTGACAGTTGAGATTAGATCATGACAATTTTCTTTTGACAAATAAAAAGCAGACAATAATCAAGAAGGCCTTGGCATAATATTACTCAAATAAATGAACAAAACTGAACACAAAAGAAATGAAAATAATTCAACTGCTAAACTCTCCTAGAAAGAAAATGTTCAATGTACGTCAGCTGTGGGTAGAGTGATTAACTACTATGTAATAACCCATTGAAAATGAATGATTAAGAATTTCATTAAATAATATGTTTAATTGAAAAAATCTGAACTTATGTTTAGCCAACAATTTCTTACACTGTAAGTAAAAGATGCTTACTTGAATTTCAATTTCAGTAGTATATTTGGAGTATATAGCAGAAGATGAATTCAAAAGATCTTCTGTAAATCTTTTATTAATTTTGAAAGTGCCCCAAACTTCTATGGGAAATAAAAAAAAAAAAAAGCATAGATATAAAAACTACTCACTTGATTGTATTATAGCATAAAATTACAGAAGTACAACTAGGAGCTCATCTATCCAGCCTCAGTCTTTCAATTTGCTGTTATAATGACCGTTCCCCTACAGTAGTATAAGAAGCACACAACCAGAATTCCCCATTGTAGATTTGGAACATTATGAGAAAGTACTGGTAATCCAAACAATCTTATAAGTAGGAAAACATGTGGCTACTCATATGTGATTTTAAAAGGAAGTCATTTCTGCCCAGCTGGTGTGGCTCAGCGGATTGAGCATTGCCCCATGGACTGAAAGGTCCCGGTTCGATTCCTGGTCAGGGCACCTGCCCGGGTTTTGGGCTCTATCCCCAGTAGGGGGCGTGCAACAGGCAGCCGATCAATGGTTCTCTCTCACATCAATGTTTCCATCTCTCCCTTTCCTCTCTCTCTAAAATATTATCAATAAAAACTTATTTTAAATAAATTAATTCATTTAAGGCAGTCATTTCTCACTGAAATATATCCTCACCTAGACATTGAGCTTGAAGTTTGTCCTATTAAAATGTTTTAAAACAAAACAAACACACACAAAATCACTATGAGCTACCTCTAACATACCCACTGCTTACCTATCGTGGATGCTTTTCTGCCCGGGGACAGCTTGTTTCCCGTCTCCATGTGGACATATCTCATGCATCCTTCATTCACGGCCTAGTCAAAGCACCTCCTCCCCCAGGCCTTCCCTGATCCCAGACACGAAGCGTCTTCCCCCCTCTACATTCCTGCAGGCTTTATCCAGACTCCTCTACAGCCTCTGGCACCTGCACCTCTATTTGTGAACATGTCTCGGGCATGTGTGCCCCCGCTCTGCTTTGAGAAGTTCCTCATGTCTGCTCCATCTCTGTATCTCTGGAAGATGGACCGATTTTCGGAAGGTAGACTTTCATCAACAGCTGAAGAAATGACACTGTCTTTCTTGTGTCCTGGTCTCCCCACATGGCCTGCTAATTCATCAATAGCAAGAGAAATGCTTCATTGTTGCCTGTCAGAATTTACCCCCATCTGGGTATAAAGATGGTCTTAATAAATATACGTTGCCTTAATCTAAATTGTGGTTCAGCCCGGCCGGTGTGGCTCAGTGGTTGAGCATCGTCCCATGCACCAAGTGGTCACCAGTTTGATTCCGGGTCAGGGCACATGCCCAGGTTGTGGGCCAAACCCCTAGTGGAGGGCATGCAGGAGGCAGCTAATTGATGTTCTCTCTCCCTCTCCCTTCTCTCTCTAAAAATCAATAAAGAAAAATAAATACATAAAATTGTGGTTCTGGGAAGGGGAGCCAGGGACACCTAGTAAACGGCTATTTCCCGTCCTCCCTCACTCTCTGCTCCTCTCTGCCAAAATCCAGAGCTTCAGGAAAACTGGACTGGTCTTTGGGAAAACTTCTTAAAGTCTTTCAGGCCCTGGAGCCCGCGTCATTTAGCTCACCTCATCATCCACTGAACATAAACCTAAGTGAACAGGGGTGCCTTCAGCCTTCAGTGGTTTCTAAAGATAGACTTTTATTGATGTTGGCAAAAGAAGTGAAAAGAAGGTAGGAAGAAAAATTGCATTTACTCAAGCAGTTCCCCGACTTGGGATTTCAGTGAATCCTGCTAAATCTCAAAAGCAGCATAGAGGTGCAGAGCTGGCCTGGAGCAGGTTCGAGGGGTGCCCGAACATCAACTTGCATTTCTGAATTTTCTGCTCCGGCTGAGCCTAGTGGGGAATGTCATCACTGCCCTTCAGTCTCCCTGCAGACACTAGCTCTGCTCAGGGAGACAGAGAAATATGTGGGCAAAGAGCTTGTGTCCCCTCTCTGTCACTTGCTGGGGTGGGAGAGGCCTTGGACCAGAGCGCCCCTCTTGGTATCGCAGGTGCTTACTTGTTCTCTCACAGAAATTGACACTCCCGGTGAGGTTATTAAGATGACAGTCACAACTCTGGAGGGATCCAGTTGTGTGAAGGTAGCATTTCTGGGGATCAAGGCATGAAGGAGGGAACCAGATGTAGCCGTCTTCACAGGCACACCGTAGGACCCCATTCTGATGGCCACAGTCTGCACAAGAAACAGAGCTTACTGTCACGGGGCCTGAGGGATACATCGTCGACGGCTGAGCGCTGATCCTGGGCTCTGACTTCGAATCGGAAGCAAGTATTTCTCATCGAGAGCTAAGAGGATGGAATGCTCTGCTGCTGGGCTGGGCACCACACTCAACAACCCTTGCTTTCGACAAAGCATTTAACTTCCCTGAACCCCACCACTGTGATCATCAGTGCTGCTTGCCAGGTACGGCTCGTTCTCTTCCAGGGTTGCAGTAACGTGGCCCCTGAGGCTGGGCGGGGCCGTGAGACCAGTTCTGACAAATAAGTCGTGGGAAGAACTGGTGTGGGTCCCTCCTGAGTTAGAAAATTCAACTGCCAATGTCAAAGCCTCCAGGGCTCCCTTTTCTGTTGTTGCTCAGAATGGGTGTGTTTGAGATAGTGTCTGATTCATCAGTCTGTCCCCAAGGGACCACCACACACTCAGCCTCTCTGCAACCTGCGATGGACATGTAGCGTGCAGAAGGAATGGAACACTTATTCTCGGAAGCCACCCACAGCACAGCCTAACCTGTCTCGACGGGTCCGCCCACCTCCCCCCTCCCCACTCTCGGTCCCCAGAAAGCTGACTTACATGTGGTCGCCTTTGCTCTGACGATCTTCGTTGGCCCGTGGGACCAGAATGATGGAGGCTTCAGAAGCTTCAGAAGATTCTTCACGTCTCTTTTCTCCTTGGAATCCCGATAGGCCACCTGCAGCAGCAGCTCATATTCCTGCACTGGGTGTAAAGGGAGGGAGGCCGTCAGAAGCCGCCTTTCTCGGTCTGGCAGAGAGTGCCCATGGGGCCATCGTCAGATTCTGCCCGGAAGGCGTGGGTGATGCCATGCGGCTTGTCCTTGACTTCTGCTCATCCAGACACTGCCTGAAAATGAGCGTCCAGGACAAACACATGCAGACTGTCCCACATGTGCCTGGCATATGTCCACTCTCTCGCTTGTGCCAGGCCGGCTGCTCCGTTCTCTCTGGCTCACACCTGCACCGCCCTCCTGCCTGGGTGCGCTTCCTCGGGGCACATTCAAAGTCAAGTTCCAGGGTCAGGGCAGAGGGAGAGGAGGTGAGAAAATCCTCGCCACTCTTCTCTCCACCTCCCCAGCTCTGGTCTCCTTGAAGTATGTTCTCTAGAAAACCCCCAATCTCACACTTTCCTCTCCAAAGAGCCCTTTCTGCTCCTGCAAAAATATCGCATTAACGTCAGACCCACAGTTAGTTCAGTTTGAGTATTTCTATCAAATGCAAAAGCAAAGCAAGCCGAACCTTACTTGAGCCCTTACATACCTTCATCTGTACCTTATCATTTCTGAGGGGTTGTTTTTTGTTGTTGTTTTTTTCATTTAAAAAAATTTTTTTAATTACTGTGGGCAGTTAATGTCCATTTCAGGTGTATTGCATAGTCGTTAGACATTTGTTTGACTTACCTAGCGATACTCCCCCAATAAATATTGCACCCATCTGACCCCAGATATAGTGATTACATGACTGACTATGTTCTAAGCTGTGCTTTACATCCTGTGACTATTTTGTAACTGCCAGTTTCTACTTCTTCATCTTTTCACCTGTTTTCACCCTGTATCTTTGAGTCTGTTTCAATTTTCTTTGTTTGTTTACCTTGTCTTTCAGGTTCCTCCTAGAAGTGAAATCATCTGCTATTTGTCCTTCTCTGTCTGACTTATTACACTCATCACAGTTTCCTCTAGGTCCACCCTATCATTTCTGAGCAGCACCTTTTGTTTTCGTAAGGAGAGGCCATTCAGTGTTCGGGGCTGGGAGAAAGGGGTCCTAGACACCCTCTCCACCCAGAACGCATGTCGGCTCGTGCACATGAAACACGAAATACCCCTGGATGTCAAGATCCTCAGAGGCTCTTCTATGAACCCGAGTAAGAATGTGAAGGACCTGAGAGACAAAGAGGCAAAGGGTGCCCATCTGTTTATCCTGGTCTCATTTTATTGCCACTTGGCAATAACATTTCTTAGACATCTAATAGGCTTTTCGGGACACGCTGTGCTCTTGCAGGGACAGATGACATGGGGAGCTTTTATGAGACTGCTCTGTTTCTTCGGGGCCCTGTGGGGCTAGGCAGAAAGGATTTATAGTGAAGACAGGCAGCTGACTCAATCCCTCAGTGTTTCATAAGGTAACCAAGAGGGTAACAGGAAGCTGGCTGAGGTTAAGGCATGTCCCAGGACATTTACAAGGGTCCCTCTCTGCTGTGACTCCCACCATCTCACTCCATAGAGTCTCAGCCCGATCACTTACTGTCCCCACCTCCTTGAAGACTGCAGCATCGGCCCGCGCCTTGGGCGTCACCCAGCTGGTGGAGCTAACAGGATGCCACTCCCTCTGCCCAAGCAGGTGGGAAGTGGGGACTGAGGGAAAGCTTGGCCCTGGCCATCACTGCCGGGGGCTGGTTGCAGTGACTCTGGAGCCAGATCGACTGACCGGGTCTGAATCGTGCCCCCTGCCCCTTAGCTGTATACCTCAATTTTACTCTGTAAAATAAAGATGACCACCGTGTCTAACTCAGAGGGTCAGCGTGAAGGCTTGGTTCATCTAATGCATTTAAAATGATGCCCGGCACATAGTAACCAGTCGAAAAATACTAGCTGTGTTGTTCCTGCCAGGGAAAATGTATTCGTGTCATTCCAAGTTAAATTTTTATTTCATTTTCCTGAAGAATCCTAGCCTCGCGTGGTGGTGCGTTCCATGGCATGATGGCACATCACAGTTTGGCAGACTCACCAAGGGAAGGCTGGTGAGTTCCATGGCATGATGGCACATCACAGTTTGGCAAGCTCACCAAGGGAAGGCTGGTGAACTGACCCAGGCACTGAACAACCATCTGTGTGCATCACTGTTTCTTTCCGTGAGGAAACACGCTCACTGCTCGAAACATCAGACCCACAAATTAAATTGCAGACCACATTAATCACAGGGTAAGGAAGAAAAGGAAGGATGTGGAGCAGGTATGTTGCAGGATACTATGCCTTCGTTACATTATTTAATCCCCACAAATGTGTTGCTAGTAGGGATTACTGTTATTCTCATTTTACAGATTTGGGGTCATTATTTATTTATTTTAAAAATATATTTTTATTGATTTCCTTTAGAGAGAGAGGAAGGGAAAGAGAGATAGAAACATTGATGTGAGAGAGAAACATCCATCGGCTGCCTCTTGCGTGCCCCCTACTGGGGATAGAGCCTGAAACCCGGGCATGTGCCCCAACAGGGAATCAAACCAGGACCTCTCAGTCCATGGGAGGACGCTCAATCTACTGAGCCAACACTGGCCGGGCTAGATCTAATAATGTGGCAAAGAACATACAACCAGTCAGAAGCACTACTGGGATTTGAACCCTGGTCTCTTGGCACCAATGTCTCACCTGGATGTTTTTTCTTATTCACAGTGAGTTCTCTTTTTGTTGTGATATCACTATTTCTCTGTTTAAAAGAAAGAAAAAAATAAAAGGTTAATTATGGCAAGGTTTTGTAACATTATACTTCATAAGGCCTTGTCGGATTTCCCAGATAAATTGAAATCATGAATCTAAAATCCAAGTCAAGGATAGTGGGGAGGTGGCAAGAAAATGTCCCACTAAGGCAAGTTTTCAGCACAAACCTAAAGGAGGTAGGGAAGTGAGGATCCCTGGAGAAAGAACTTTCCAGGCGGCGGGAACAGCACGTGCAAAGGCCCTGGGGTAAGAACGTGCCAGGCATGTGAAGACAGCGAGGTGGCCAGAGGAGCTATGTGGAGTGCGTGAGGGGAGAGGGCAGCAGTGAGGTCAGAGAGTATCTCCAGGAATCAATTGTGTAGATCTTTATAGGCTATGGCAGGGGCTCGGCTTTTCCTTCCGTGATGTGGGAACCCACTGGAGAGTGCTGACAGAGGAAAGATGTGCTCTACTTTATTTTTAGAAGGCTCAATCCTGCCGTTATATGGGGAATAGACAAGCCCAGAAGCAATGAGAGCATCTCAGAAGTTACTGAAATAATATCAGTGAGAGAGAAAGAAAATGTGGGTCAAGGTAGTAGCCATGGAGGTGGTGAGAAGTGTTTAAATTCTGGGTATATTTTATTTTATTTATTTTATTTTTCAAATCAATTGGGGGGGGGGGTGGATTGGACCTGCAACCTGGGCATGTGCCCTGACCGGGAATCAAATCAGGACCTCTCTGTCCATGGGATGATGCTCAATCCACTGAGCCACACCGGCCAGGCTAAATTCTGGGTATATTTTAAAGATAAAGCCAAAACAAACAAACAAACAAAGAGCCAGTGGTTTAGATACGGATTATGAGAAGAAACAAGCAAAAGAAGAAATGTTGTGCCGAAGCAGCTGGAGAGTAAATGATACTACTTGCTGGGAGAGTAGAAAGGGAGGAGTAGGTTTGGTGAGGAAAAAAAAAAAATCAAGAGTTTAGTTTGAGACATATTAAGTTGAGGGACCTATTGGGCACCCAACCGGAGATACCAAGGAGGTCGTGTGCATGTGAGTGTGGCGTTCAAGGGACACGTCTGAGCTGGAAAGATAAATTTGGGCGTCATCAGCGTATAGAGAACAGTAAAGCCATGACCCTAGATAAAAGCACCAAGAAAGTGCATGTCGATAGGGATGAGATAGTCCAAGGACTGCTAGTGCCAATCTATACGCTCGTTCTCCAGCAAAGGGGCCGTAGGAGTGGATGTGTTGAGCTAGAAGAGATTCCCAAGATGGTTTGGTTCAAGATCCCTATTTTGCCGTTAGCTCATCTAAGCTCCAAGACCTCACAGCTAATGTCGAGACGAGAACCCAGAACTTCTGATTCCAAGTCTATTACATTATGTAGTTTCAGTTGCCTAGAGAGGTGTGGATCGTAGACGTGCCAGAGGAGAAAGGAGAGGTGGCAGGGAGGACAAGCAGGACATACGGTGACTCACCCCCAGGAAGCCGTCACCGGCCGCAGTGACTGTGAGGAAGGAGATGAGCCACAGCACCGGAACTCTCATCTCAGGAGGTCCCTGTCCTTCGCCTGGGCTGAGCATGAACCGCGGGGTTCCCAGCCTGTCCCTAGACAAGGTGTACCCTGCACGGCTGAGGCATGAAAACAAGTAATTAAATGAAAATTTGTAAATGCACGCAGTGGTAGTGCCCTGCCGAGCCGATCAGCGGCCCTGGGTGTTAACTCATCTTCCACGTCACGTACTGAGCCTGAGACGTTGTGACTCCCACTGAAATGAACGCGTTTCTGTCTTTACAAACCTACCAGAAAATTCCTCAAAAGCCCTCTTCTGCGTGATCAGATTTGAGCAAACACGGGCTATTTTTTTTCCGGGTCAACCTGTTTTTTTGTCTCTTTTTTTCAGAAAAAGAATTTTGCTGTTCATTGCGAAGGAACACATACTTACCGTAAAAAAGAAAATTAGAAAATAGGGATAAACCAAAATAAGGATAAAACTCAATTCATAATTCTAAAACCCATAAAAATTACTATTTATGTGTATGGCTTATTTACACATCTGAGATTTCCATATTATCTATAATAATATTTATAGATTTATTTATTTATTTTTGTTAATCCTCACCTGAGGTTATTTTTTCCATTGATTTTTTAGAGAAAGTGGAGGGGGGTGGGGACATCAATATAAGAGAGACATGTCAAATGGTTGCCTCCTACACATGCCTTGACAGGGCTGGGGGCATCAAACCTGCAACCCAGGTATGGGCCCTTGACCGGAAATCCTTTGGTGCACAGGCCGACACTCTAATCACTGAGCCACATCGGCCAGAGCTTACTTTTTTATTGCAGCTTGCATTCAACACTTGTTTGTATTGGTTTCCGATGTACAGCACAGAGGATAGACATTCATACAGGGTGCACTATTTTAAAATCATAACTTGCTTAACTTTTCAACTAGGTGTGGCTAACATCTAGTCTTTTATATTTCATTGAGGTTTTCTTTCATCTCAGTAAAAAAGAAAATAAAAAAGGCATTAAAAGAACCAAGGATGCTTAGAACCATTAATGTAAGGATAGAATCTGAGTGTTTAAGCATAAATATAATCATGAACCAACCCAGCAAATTTCCTTCTTTCTAGTTAATGTAATTTGCAACAAATTGTCCTTGGGTTTATGGTTCTCTCAGAATAATTTAGGCAGAACTCGGCATATAGTCACAGTCACAAAATTAAGCATTTATAGCCAAGTTATTTTGTGTGAATGAAAAATTCACAGTAAGTTAGAACTGTGGCGTTCAATATAGTAGCCACTAGGCACATGTGACTATCTGAATTTTAATTTTCATTATAATGAAGTGAAATTAAAAGTTCCATTTCTTGCCCTGGACTGTTTGGCTCAGCAGTTAGAATATTGACCTGTGGACCAAAGAGTTGCAGGTTTGATTCCGGTGAAGGGCACGTACCTCGGTTATGGTTCAGTCCCTGGCCCTGGTCTGGGTCGTGTGGGAGGCAACCAGTCAATGTGTCTCTCTCACATCGATGTTTCTCTCTCTCTGTCTCTCCCTTCCTCTTCTCCTCTCTCCCTCCCACTCTTTTTGTTTTTTTTATCCTCACCCGAGGATATTTTTCCATTTTTTGTACAGATAGAGTGGGAGGGAGAGAGAGGAAGGGAGAGAGAGAGAGAAACATCGACGTGAAGGGACACATCGAGTGGCTGCCACCCGCACGACCAACCAGGGCCGCCTCCCACTCTATCTTAAAAAAAAAATGGAAAAATAGATTGCTTTAGGTAGTATGGACATTTTAATGATGTTAATTCTTCCGATCCATGAACAGGGTATGTGCTTCCACTTTTTTATATCTTCCTCTATTTCTTTTTTCAATGACCTGTAGTTTTCTGCAAATAAGTCCTTTACTTCTTTGGTTAAGTTTATTCCTAGGTATCGTAATTTTTTTGGCGCGATGGTAAATGGGAATGTTTTTTCAGTTTCTCTTTCTGTGAGTTCATCATTGGTGTACAAGAATGCCGTCGATTTCTTGACACTGCTGGTGGGAATGCAGACTGGTGCAGCCGCTATGGAAAACAATATGGTGCTACCTCAAAAAATTAAAAATTGAACTTCCATTTGACCCAGTGATCCCACTGCTGGGAATATACCCTAAGAAGCCTGAAACACCAATCAGGAAGAATATATGTACCCCCATGTTCATAGCAGCACTATTTACAATAGCTAAGATCTGGAAACAGCCCAAGTGTCCATCAGTAGACGAATGGATAAAAAAGCTGTGGTACATATACACAATGGAGTACTATGCAGCTATAAGAAAGAAAGATCTCTTATCCTTTGAGACGACATGGAGGGACCTGGAAAGTATTATCCTAAGTGAAAGAAGCCAAGCAGAAAAAGACAAATACCATATGATCTCACTTATATATGGAATATAATGAACATAACAGTCTGAGGAATACAGTAGACCCAGAAACATGGAAGTAGGGCACAGACTGACATCCCTCAGAAGAGGGGGTGGGGGGGTGGGGGGTGGGAAGAGATAAACCACAGAACTTATATGCATGTATGCATGACCAATGGACATGGACAACTAAGCCGGGGACGGGGCGGAGGTGGGGTGGGGTGGGGGGTGCCAATGGGGTAAAAAGGTAAAATATCTGTAACAAAAAAAATAAATAAATTAAAAAATTCATAAAAAAAAAAAATGGAAAAATATCCTCGGGTAAGGATTAAAAAGAAAAATTCCATTTCTTAGTCACACTAGCTACATTTCCACAGGTGGCTAGTGGCTACCATGTGAGGCAGCGTAGACACAGAACTCTTCCCTCATTGCCAAAAGTTTTATTGGGCGTGGATGATTATTCGGCCATAAAAATTAGAAAGTCTTATCACATGCTATAATGTGGGTGAACCTTGAGGACCTTCTGTTAAGTGAAATAAGCCAATCACAAGAAAGACAAACACTAGATGATTCCATTTGCGAACTATCTATAAAAGGCAAACTCGTAGAAACAGACAGTAGAATGTTGGTTGCCAGGGCCCTGGGGAGGGGGGATGGGGAGCTGGGATTCAGCGGGCCTGAGTTTCAGTTTTGCCAGATGAAAGAGCTCCAGAAATCTGTGGCATAACAATGTGAATCTACTTAATGCCACTGAATTTGTGGCACGCTTAAACATGGTTAAGACGGTACATTTTACGTTATGTGACTTTTTTAGCATGATTTCTAAGGTTTCACTGGGCATGAAGAATCACTTCTCTGTGGTCTCTCAACGTTTCTTTCACATCTCCATAGGAAAAGATGAAAAACTGATGGCCGAACTCAATGACCCCCCACTGGAGTGAGTGCCTTTGACCGGCAGTGGGAACGCAGAGTCGGGCTCCCCTTGCTCCCTGGGTGTGCCTGAAACTTGACACAAACCCTGCGGCCCCAGCAGGGCTGCCCCACACTTTGCTCTCTGGTCTGCAGGACAAGAGAAAAACATGAGTCACGGCACTGACTTCACGACACAAGGTTCTGTGTCAGCAGAGACCTGCTCCGGGGCCTTCTAGGGACGCATGGGAAACAGGCAATGGGACACCCGCCACTTCCGGATCATCTTCTCCCCCCAGGGGAACGGTCTTCCCATGCCCCATCTTCCAAGGCTCCCCCTAAATCTAGTGCTTAAACTTGCTTTGGGCAGCAGCCTGTGCTCCAGGTCTCATTCTTCTAGATCCGCGTCCCCAAAACTTATCCGCTCTTGTCCTCTCCCCTCTGGCCCGTGTTTTCTGCTCTCTGCAAACGGCGTGGCGGCTGTTTGTCTCTAGCACAGAATTTTCCCCATACTTTTCACCAGGCCCCATAGAAAGAAATATATATTCATACACACATAATAAAACATGTTTATACATGTATATGCATATATACACACATAATAAAATGTGTGTGGCCCGGCCGGTGTGGCTCAGTGGATTGAGTGTTGACCCATGCACCAAGAGGTCGCCAGTTCGATTCCCGGTCGGGACACATGCCCAGGTTGTGGGCCTGATCCCCAGTGGGCGGCGTGCAGGAGGCGGCCAATCGATGTTCTCTCTCATCAATGTTTCTCTCTCTCTCTCCCTCTCCCTTCCTCTCTCTCAGAAATCAATAAAGAAAAAAAAGTTTTAATAAAATAAACCGCGTGTGTATATATACATGAAATAACTGAACAGCTTTATAAAATAGAACTTAATTCTTTCTCTGAGACATGCCCTTGTATGTTTTCTATTTGTTTTCATTTTCTTTCTTTCTTTTTTTTAACGAAATTGATTTCCCAATACCTCCTTAGAGTGTGGCCACATCTCAGAGGGAGCTTGTGCTCTTCCCGGCCCCTTTCCCACGTCTGCTCCCCTTCCGGGGAAGATGGTCAGGTGCGGCCCTGGGTCCTGCTGGGGCCACGGTCCTCGTGCTGGGGCCACGGTGTTCGTGCTGGGGCCACGGTCCTTATGCTGGGGCCACGGTCCTCATGCTGGAGCCACGGTCCTCGTGCTGGGGCCACGGTCCTCGTGCTGGGGCCACGGTCCTCATGCTGGAGCCACGGTCCTCATGCTGGGGCCACGGTCCTCGTGCTGGGGCCACGGTCCTCGTGCTGGGGCCACGGTCTTCGTGCTGGGGCCACGGTCCTCGTGCTGGGGCCACGGTCCTCGTGCTGGGGCCACGGTCCTCATGCTGGGGCCACGGTCTTCGTGCTGGGGCCACGGTCTTCATGCTGGGGCCATGGTCTTCGTGCTGTGCTCTGCCCTCCCTCCGCACGGCCCTGCTTCCGAACGGGAGGCCTGGCCCTCACACGGCTCTCTCTCCATCTCTTGCTCTCCGAACACCTTCTTCCTGCCACACACAGTCCAGGCCCGAGGCTGCAGGCTGGTGACGCCCTGGCCACTACGAGGAAACTCACTCTCAGGCTGAGCCCCTCTTCCTGCCGCTGAGGGTGTGCGCTGGGCTGTCTCTTCCGACCGCGTGGAAGTGGGCAGCTTTGCTTTACAATCGGGGTTTCAGACCGGTGGTTCCCAAGCTCTGCTCTGTAGGCCTATCATGAATAGCTAAACTATTTCGTGATATACACGTTTTATCATATGTGTGTGCAAATATATGTTTCCTTCTACGGGGCC